CTTGGCGGCCTGCTAATTGCTCTGTGGGGAGCAGGTTCTCCGCAGATGTGAAAATTCCTTTTCGTACCCACTTCCTTTAATGAAAGGAATACGAAAACAGAGACAGGTGTTTCCAAAGCATTACAGCAAAAAAAGAGAAAAAGCAGCATTCTATAGAAAAGCATCCATTTAGCACGTCATGACGGCGCCCTTTTATTCGCTTTTTGTCGGCAGACGCAATTTCGCAAGAGTCTCCGCCTCACCTCACATCAGTGGATTTTATCGAAAATGGACGAACACATGAATAATACGAAGTTAGTTTAGTAATCAATAATCGGGTGACATCATCTAGAGCATTGTTGCGTAAGTCGATTAAAGGTTGTACTGTAATAAGACACATTTTCATGAAATGAACTCAAATATGTTTGGTTCAATTGTGTAAGGAAAGAAGATAATCTTAATCAAACTCCACAGTTTACATCTTGCAGCCCTTTGCATCTCATTTAATGGGATAAAGAATTTACAATCGGAAGTTTCGTTCGGCCCAGAAAACATTAAAGATAAAGCATATCAATTCCTCAGTGAATCATGGCGTGTAAAGCTATATAATGGTCCATAACTATTTTTTGGTATCATCCCGTGAGTGCGATATATACGCGATTATAATGCGATTTCAGCAGTAGACCACATGGCATGCATAGTCGAAATGAGCCGCAACGCTAAGGCTGCTTTCATAGTTCGCATCGGTGCGGTCGGTGCCGACGGCGCCGACCGCACCGACAGTGTGAAGAGCGTCAATACGCACTCTGGCGCATGACGCGAACGTTGGGCGCAGATCGCGTGCTCCGATCGATAATCCTGGTTTTGGTGTATTTCTTGTGCTTTTCGATGATTTTTTTCGCGCCGTGTTGCTTTAATTCGTGTGTTTCCTGTTCATACTTATTCTTTTATGGGCGCAATGTGGCTCGGGGGGGGGGGGAGCGCGGCTTAGCGAGTATGTATCAACATTCAGCTTTCACAGAAATTTTCACTTCTCACGCATCTAAGACGCTTACACCGCCTGAATTGCTACACCCCCTGCTGCGAATTACTGTTGCCTGCAACGCCCGGCGCCCTCGCCACATGCTTTATGTCTGATTAATACTTTCCAGTTGTTCCGCGGGCGAGCGACGTCGTGAATCCGTCGCACAACTCCGGGTGGATGTGGCCATACCGGGTGTGTTGGTCGTAAGCAATTTTGTTTATTCATATGAAGTGAGTGCAAAAAACATCAAAGAAATACACCAAAACCAAGATTATCGACCGGAGCGCCCCATCTGCGCCCAGCGCACGCGTCATGCGCCAGAGCGCGTGTTGACGCTCTTCACACTGTCGGTGCGGAGTCAGGCAGACGGACCAGGCCGACCGATCGAACCGACCGACAGTGCCAGAGCGTCAATACGCGCTCTGGCGCATGACGCGTACGTTGGGCGCAGATGGCGCGCTCCGATCGATAATCTTGGGTTTGGTGTACTTCTTGTCTTCAGTCTTCCTTTTATAAGTGTGTTTTCTGTTGATACTTATTTTTTATGTCTTCATGAGTACTTTTCAGTTGTTCCGCGGACGAGCGACGTCGTATAACCCCGTGTGAAGTGGCTTCAAGACCCAGTGATTTCATCATGAGCAATTCTGTTTATTCGAGTGAACTGTATGTTTCCAGTAGTTGCTTTCTCTTCGATACAATTTCCTGCTGGTGTGCGAATAATTAAATTACCAAGATCCGGCGGCCTTTCGCACACCAGCAGGAAATCGTATCGAAGAAAAAGCAACTTCTAAATTTATAGAGTCCACTCGAATAAACAAATTGCTTATGATGAACTCACCCAGTATAGCCACTCGGGGTAGTACGACGGGGTTCTACGAAATCGCTCGTCCGCGGAACAACTGAAAAGTATGAAACGAGACATAAGAGAATAACTATGAGCAGATAACACACGAATAAAAGCAACACGGCGCGAAAAAACATCGAAAAGCACAAGAAATACACAAAACCAACGATTATCGATCGGAGCCCCCATCTGCGCCCAGCGCACGCGTCATGCGCCAGAGCGCGTATTGACGCTCTTCACACTGTCGGTGCGGTCGGCGCCGTCGGCACCGACGGCACCGATGCGAACTATGAAAGCAGCCTAACATTCATGCCGGACGAATGAGTAAAGTCTCGAACTATTTGTAAAAGAAGAATACCCATAGGCATACGATGAGCACGTTTTTTGGCATCCATGAAGAACGAGTAAATCAATGAAACACCAGATGACAGCATAGTGACTTCAAGTCCAGTTTCATTCTAGAAAAAGCAACATGAACAATGGGGTCACTGTATTAATTAAAAGACAGATAACAAAGGCCACGGATTCACTGTTACCGTAATCCGTGTTAGCATTGGTGCGCGCTGCAGCAAGCATTGGCGCGCTTTTTAGGCGACGCAAGGATTAGCACGAAGAGCCAAAAGATTGGGAAAGTCACATAGCGGTGGAATAAAGAGTAGACAAAGGAGCACAAAATAGAGCAGAGTTGGCAGTCCTGAGAGGTATCGCTTGAGAGTCAGGACTAAGCATTTGGCGAGAGGAGGCTCAGAAGTGGCAAAGTGAGCCACTCACCTTGTGATCTCACACAATTCAAAATCTCTCCGCGATGCGCCATTTCACCCAACGCAGTTGTTTCCCCTACACATCAAAGGCCCACACTAACCTAAGAAAGTCTCCGGCAGCAGAAGTCGCTTAGTCGCGCCAGTATCCTAAGAAGCGAATGTACGAAGGTAATAAATTATAATAGAATGTAAGCGCATTTAAATTTCGCTCATTAGTCAAACAGCCCCGAGAAGTGGCCACAAATGCGACAAATGGCGCCAGCGGCATAAGCGAATACTCGTAATCACCTATCAACCGCAGGGCCTGGTGATTCGGGTTTTTATGCTGTTCTGTGGGCACACTCGCATATGCACGCCCATTACAGCATCCCCCTTTCTTACCTCCTTCATAAGGCTCAGTCCTTTCGCTTATTGGTTGACCACCGCTCCCGCGCTGATGCTTGTGTCGCTTAAAGGGCGCGCTCATGCTATACGAGGTTACGTAGCATTAATTCCGCGGCCATTTTATCTGTCTTGTATTAAGTTACCACAACACAACGATGAATTCATTAACCATCAAAATGACACGTTCAATTGAAACGACGACATAGAGGGAAACCAAAAAATCCAAATTCCCCGAATTTCATATCAACTAACTTAACAAGTGTTTGGCAAAAAGAACAGAAACAAAATAAAAGATATCTTTTGTAAATGCTAAAAAGGAGAGCTAGACCATTTGCAAGACAGTGAAAGTTATTGCACTTATTATAGCTCACAACAAATATACGCAGTGCTCAATTCAAGAACCTCGGGTTCGAACGCAGATAGATATTTGTAGGAGAGGCTGTGCTATAATTTAGGCATATTGATAAGATATCATTATATCATTTAAAACACTAGCAGAACATGCAGTATGGAGGCAGCATTCATACTTCGCGCCAGACGGTCTATTCGCAGTTTGAAAAAAACCTAACCTCGAAAGTACAAGAGCAGGGCAGGACAAAGGAGGAGGGTAAAAGTAAGAAGTCTCAAGTACGCTCTCGGGTCACCTAAATGCAAGTAAAGACCTGTAAGAAAAGCCCCTGGGCATACCAGCAGAATAGACCGCCTGCACTCAAAGCGAGATTGTGCGAAATTGGCGCGGCAGAATTTCCAGAATTCATGACATAGAAGGAATACGAATAGCAACCTAATTCTCTCAACTTAAATGCAATGGATTACGCTGCGTGAAATATGCCGAGGACGGTCGGCCTGCTCGAAGTATCATTGAAACATCGATGAATTGAGGAAGAGCCTTTGAAGCCGATATAACATATCTACGCAACACGCAGATTGCTTTGAAGGATTCGCCAATGTATCAACGTAGACAGCGGCTACTCCGAAAGAGAAAGATGTGGTACTTTGCTTGGTGTTTTTATGAATATATTATTTTTGCTTATCATGACATTCTGGCCACAATGGCCTTCCATGATCGCTTTGTCGTGCTGTAACTTTTCCCTACACGGTATGTTCTAGAAACGGCTGATCCCTTCGTCACTCATTCTACCCAACTGCAAAATACAACGCACAAATTTCGACTTCGGGGTCCGATTTTCTACTAGAAAACAACTGAACCAACACTCTAGAATGGTGATCACAATTCATAACTCAAGGAACCAAGCTAGATGTAGCGAGATTTGGATTCCAAAAAAATGTACAGCACTACTCCCTACAACCCCCCGGAGGCTTCAAAATAAATATACGTTGATTTGTGAAAAGCTCAATGTTAGGTGAAAGGTCGACCTTTCAAAAACGTTTGTTTTATTCGAGAAAAACCTTACTTTTCGCCCTCTGCACGATACGATGAAGAAGGACTGGCGCACAATGAGCACAATGCTCTAACTGTGTAATAAATGCAATGCTCTAATTTCGCTACTTCCTTGTTGAAATTCGAACGACAAATAGTCAAGAAAAAATCCTACAAAAGAAATGGGAACTCGCCTGAATCCAATCAACGGCTTCCTGCAACGTCTTCGGTCCTTGAATTTCCAACCTGTCCCAAAGAGTGAAGCTGGACTCATTATACTGCAAATATAGTTTATGAATATATCAGGGCTACGCTTAGCATATAGTTTGACTTACTTTCTTGAACTGGGGCAGCAATTGGTTCGGAAAATCCGAAGAATGGCAGAGCGAGGTTTATAAAACCGTTCTTGAAGCGATCAAGGGGCGGTTTCGTCGTCCCAATCATCTGAGTCAGAACACGTTCATTTAATTTTCAAAAGCATAAAAAAGTAGTAATAATACCTTGTAGAATTCGACGCAAACTAGACCGGCAACTGTAGCCGTCGTAGTAGCGATGGCAGGTATTATGCGGCCAGCAATTTGTTTAGTCTGTGATACAATGTGTCAGAAGTACAACTTAGAAGCTAAATCATTCGCATACCTTCATACGATCCGCAGGCTGGATGTTGTAATTCTCCGCACGCAGGTTAGACGCTGCAGTGATCATCTCCATATGATGATTAGTATCGTCATCCTACACGGAAATATTAGATGAAAATAAAAATCAATTCGTGTCAAGTAGGTGACGCCAACAGCAAACCTTCTCAAAATCAATAGGCTTCAGTTTAGGAATAGTCTTAGTATGCAGGCGAGCGAGTTTCACTTTTAGTTGTTCTAGCATTGCTTCTGCGTTAGCTAAATAGGGAGAATTACAATTATCGCTATCGTGTACGAGACAATGACTTAAGGAAGAAATTTACCGTCATCCGTGTCAGCATTTTCTTTGGCTTCGGCTTCCGTAACCGCAATTTTGACGCCTGCACGAGGCTTGAAGGGGGGAGGTTGAACAGATTTCGCAATCTACAAGGAGAAATTCATAAAGAAAAGAAGCTCCTGAGATGGTCACGATGAAATGGTTCTGGAACACATATTATACATTACAGACCATTCCAAAGAACAAGCGGTAGTTACGTGGCGCTAACGGCAAGGATTGAAGAAAGATGGAGAACTTCCAAAGAGAAACGAATCTTCCAAATGCACATCTTTCGAATAAAATGGAAACAAATGCCTACTTTCATAACGGCTTCTACATCTAGCAAAGGCTTCAGGCGATACATTTCTGCTCGTAATATTGAGGCAGCATAAACAAAGTTTCGATGTTCCTCCTTAAAGAGCAGTATAAAAAATAATGTCCAGCCAAATAACAAAATTTAAGTCTCACTTGAGATGGATCGAACTCAAGAACGTGAGGGCATCGCTTAGTACCAGACCAGAACTTCGCTCCCTGATCGGTAACTTGGTCAGGTGGGAACGAATGAAGCATTTGAGCGATATTATCGTGATAGTGCTCCTTAAAAAAATCAACCTCGGAAAATGAATCGCGTTTGTAAACTCTAGTGAACGGGCTCAGTCTCACTAACCTGGAATAACAGACGAGCCCATTTCACACAATCTTCAGGAGACGCTGGTTTACTATCAATGAGAGCATCCTTGACCTTAAAATCGCCGTTTTATGAAATGGAAAAGTTATTACAAAAACGTCTCTGATATATTACCTATATGTTAACATGCGCAACCGCATCAAGAACTGACATCAAAAAAAACCCCACCTGCCCAAGAAGCTGTGTCCTTTGGCTGACATTCATCTGCTCAAGCCGCTCCAAGAACGTTCTTTCATCAGTAAGGAACTGATTCGCAGTCTCAGCTGGAGCGGTGAACAGACCTAACGTAACAAAAATTCAATTAACAGAGTCACGTCAAGAAACGAGTGAAGGCTCTCACAACATTCAAAGTTAGGCAAGCAATGCAGAAGTTAAAAACAAGTTAACTACAAGAATTGTTGGTCATCTTGCACTGACGCTTATATTTTCTAAATGCTACTGATTCTTCAACGAGTTTTCAGCTCCTTTACCTTCGAACAAATCCCTGGCCCATTGAATGGTATGCTGGATTTCATTGGGAAAGTTCTTCAGAGTGCAGATTGGAATGTCCTTCTCAGGGGGGTCAACAGAAGATCTGAAAGTGAGAATGCCTTCACACTATGAAGAAAGTCAAAAGAGGGAAGAAAAGGAAAAAAATTCAAAGAACACACCCGTAAGACTCCGTGAGATGAGGATAGACAACTTGTGTGTTTCCCTTCGTGCCCATGGTTCCAGATTCAAGCAATGGTAAGCAATAGTACACACATCTTCGATCCATGTAACGACCTCAAAATAAAATATGCGATAAAAAAGAAATTTTTGAAAAGTACTTATTTCTTGAAAAAGAATATATCGACTAACGGGCATCAACATTGTCCAGAGCATTTGCGACTCCATCAAGCTCGGCAAAGAAATCGTCATTGAAAATATGCTCAGTATCGGAACCAACTCTTTCAGCCAGAGCTTCAATGTTTACATCCTTATTGAAAACCTTGACAGCTCTAGCGGCGACGACGGATTTCTTGCTCTAAATTATAAAATGTCAAAAGAGTATAAATTAAATCAATAAAGAAACAAAATATTCACCCCAACATCATTCATTCGGAAAAGAAACTGCCTGTTTAGATTGCTGATTTCAATCTGGTCCATGTCCGTAATCTTAATCAAGCCATCTTTGCCACATGCCACACCCATCATTGCAAGGTTCTTCAGCAGCTCACATCCAATGGCACCTATACAAGGTCATACAAGGTCAACAGGAGTTAATTACGCAGTAGGAGACGAGAGTGAAATTACCTACCAGGCACCAACGACAAACCACCTCTGAGAGGAAAGCTCATCTTGATATTTCCATCCGAATACCGCAGCTTGTCCATCATACCGGGAATCACGCTAAAAATAGCGATCCTTACCACGCTGATAGCTAATTAGAGTTGAGCCATGAGTAATGTCCGTTTCAAACAAATATTCAAAACTTGATAACTTTCTCTACAACCAAATTCATTCAATGCAATACTTATCACATCTTTCTAGAACTCCTTCATACTCAATAAAGAGTAGGTACTACTCCGCCACAACTGCACAATCTTCCACCCAAATAATAATCGAGGGTATTTGCAATCATCGTCACTCTTCTTCACCTGTAGAAATGGAGCAGAGTAGTGGAACAAACAGTAGTTATACCTGCTTAATCTTACAAATAGTGGGTAGTGGGAAGAACGTAGAGGCAATTCTGGTATAACCTTCTGATTGACGTTCGGTCATATTCATCGGTTGCCATTAGTAGAATACTGTTCACCTTTGCCGGGAGCTGCAACATGTTAGTCAGCAGTTAGAGACCATCGCCGCTGCAAGTTACGAAGCAGTTAAATTCGGCGATATAGAGCCTCTAAAGTGAGCAGGTGCCAAAGGGTGAAGTTAGGTATTAATTCCGGAGCTTCGCTAGATTGTGCTTGCATCCATGGAGCTACACTACTGTCTTCTTCTATATTCAGTGACGTCCTTGTGAGGGCTGCCCGAACTGCGGATCTTGGGTGAGAAGAATTGTCGAGTAATCAGTTTTTACATATTTCTCGAATTACGTCTATATACAGGGGGGGGGGGCCAAAAAAAAAAGACATTTTGCCTCCACTTCCAGATGGATTTAAGCACATTTTACTCAACTCAGACCGAACGGTTCCAACTTATTATTAAAGAGTGCATTCCATTCTATAAGAAAATCTTCATAGTGGCCACGTACGTGGACGGCATCAGAAGAATTAGCCCTGGAAACATGGTGCACTGGTCGATCTCAATGGGGTCTTCGAAGGATCGTGTACCATAACGACCCTTACTGGAAAGCTAGTTCCGAGGGGATTTGCACAGTGGTAGCTAATGCCTCTAGAAAACTATCCAACATTAAATCGATTCACGAAATTGCGTAAGAGCTTCAGGCTGAAGCTCTTACGGTAGACCTCCTTGAGCCTGACGACGGTGACAGATGACGTCATATTCTGAAGACGGTGAGGGCAGTGAAGGAGAGCCTGCGTACACTAATAGAGGAACACTTAGGGAATACTCTGCTGAGGAACTCCCGTCAACGACAGCAATCTCTGCGAAGAAAAAAGAGCCGAAGTCCGACATAGGCAAAATGTCTTTTTTTTTGGCCCCCCCCCCTGTATATACCGATTTTCCGAATAACTTAGAGGGCGCCCAATATGCAGTATAGAAGTACTGTTTCGTTGTAAGTTAAAGGCTGCTGGAGACGAGACGACTTCAAGAAGCACCTTAAGCCCTACGACCTGCACGGAACTTGAGGCTAGTATGGCCTCTTATAACTAACCCAGTTAGAGTTGAGTACAAAACGTTCGTTTCGTGTAAAATGAGGAACGAGAGCATATCTATACAACTTGTTGGCGAGAGCAGAATAAATAAATAAATCTTGGAAAGAATGGTAAGAGTTTGAAAAAATCGGACATTACTTATGACTCAACCTTAAATGCAGATTAGACGGAATGAGTCGTACAGGTTTGCAATCTTCAACAGTTAGCTTGGCATTGTCAAACCGACTCCAATCTCCGGGTAACGCGTCATCACTGTCTAGGTAGAGCCACTGCTTGAGAGGAGTCATATGATGAGTGACGGCTTTCATCGCTTCTTGAGCAGCAATACCTCCGACTACGGATGCCATAGTAACCAGGTTACCCATAGCCTAAAAATAAGAGGAAAATAGAAATTTACCCATAAAAGAGGGAATCATATGTAAACCCCACCTGGAAGCAAAATGACTTCAATAGTTTCTCATTCACTGAACTATCCTCAGGCAATTCAGCCTTCAATAGCTCCACGTCGGCAGTGCATCGTGGCCTGGGACTTCGACCATGCTAAATTTACCGATAGTACTTCAAAAATAATGAAATAACGAAGCTCAGTACACCATCAGTACGGTAGCACTTTAGTAAACCTATCCTACTACTATTAACGACATACCTTCGCTTCAAAGGCATACAGTGCAGTCCAAAGAACATGCAGCTGAGAGGGATAATCGAATTTAGCAAAGTCCCAGTAGACGAATTCCGGTTCGGCCAATGATTCCGCAAGGGATTTGTGTGACACATAAGTTGGTACCTAAATTCGCGAGAAGGCGTTGTTGTATAATGTAACTACGGTAATCTCCACTAGAACCTTAGTCGCATCTTTCTTCTCAAAGTGAGACGAGTATACAAAGGGAAGGGGAGGGGGCAGAAGAAAGTCATTCCTCTTCACATTTGAAACGGAATTATTGACACTTTGCTGAACTCAAACCAAATGATCCCTACTGGACATTGAAGATATTCCAATCTATCAAAAAACTTCGTGTAGCCTTCTACCCCGACGACATCAGAAGATTTTTCCTTTGGGAACATGATGCATGGTGCAAGGACGCCGACGGATCGTGGCCCATTGCGACGAAATCCGAAACGCTGGGCAAAAGCGCTATTGTATGGTAAGAGCTGCTGTCTGGATAGAGTTATCCACCAGTAAACCGATTGAGGAAATCATGTGGCAGCTTCAGAATGAAGCGATTACGGTAGACCTCCTTGAGCTTGACGGTGGTGACAGATGACGTCATATTCTGAAGACGGCGAGGGCAGTGAAGGAGGGCCTGCTTCTGCTTATAGAGGAGCATATGTATAGGGAATATTACGCCGAAAAACTTCTCAGCAGTCGCACCTTGTGCGACGAAAGGTTTGGTGATGTGAGCTAATGGCAAGATGACCTTTTTTGCCCCCTTCCCCTCCCCACTATGTGCCCACTTGTTAACTGTTACGCAAATCACTCATTAGAATAACGGAAACCCACCTTCACTTGCTTGACGCGGCCTCCTTCCTCATAATTTGACATGGTTTTAACGACATTTCCAATGTTGAACACGTGTGGTTCTGAAAGCACAATATAGCTTTGCTCTGTAACTTCAGAATGAAACTTTCATACTTTTCACAGTTACTTTGAGAGGAGCGCAATCGTTGAGTTGTGTCATTCCTTTAACTTCTGAGAAGGTGACGTGATCTCCATCTTCTAAGCCGTGCATTTGGTTTTCCAAAGTTATAACATCCCCAGTTTCAGCGTCCACATGTTCGATGAGAAACTGTAAGTCAAAAATCAGTATAGTACAGTAAAGCATTACGTAGACGGCTCTATCAATGAAAAAGGTCTGAACAATCACCTCCTTCACTTGCTCGCCATTAGGATCGTCCACTCTGAATGATTCACCGAAATCAGCGAATATGTAGCTGTACAAACCACGGGCGTCTACTATCAGTAAACGCTTGTTATGGGCCCTAGTCCAACGAGACACATCTAACTGCACACTTCGAGCGGTGTCAGTCAGGACAACAAGCTGGAATGAAACCAAACTTCAAAAATGCTTTAAGGAAAAATGATGAAATATATACTAACGTCAAACTGCTTCACAACATCTTCGGTAAGCTCATTCACCAAGAGATGACAATTAACGCTGTCGTTCAACTCAGCAAGCCTGCAAGATTTTTCATTTTGTTACTGTAGCACATTGTTTTGAACGAGGCTTTCTTTTCATCCACGATCTTGAGTGTGAGTAACAATGCATTTCGAAAAGAAAAATTAATGAATCAAGATAAATTATGTCGAGAGAGGGGGAGGGGGAATTATAGGGGCAAATCAAACTCATATAATGCGGTCCCCTTCGGCCAGGACACAACGTCAAAAACGGAAGGAGAGTATTTGTGCATTGAGCGCTCGAGATAGTCGTCGTTCAAATCGTACGGCCGCCTCTTATGTAAAGGCTATGCAGCGGAATACCAGCTCCTGTTAAAACTTCGGCATAAATATGAAGCGCTGCTCGAAGTATTCTGACAAGAAATCTCGCGTATAAGTATAAGTATAAGTATAAGTTTATTACGTCTGCATATGGCAAGCGTGAGAAAAAAGAACACAATTTAACTTCAACACCTATACAAACAACCAATTAAACCAAACCAGAGATAATGTGGTCTATTGCGTGCTATCTGAACAACGAGCAAAAACTATATACAGGGTCCAAGAACATTTTTTGAACAATTAAGATTTTTTCGGCACCCCCTATCGACTTTTCTGAGCCTTTCAATCCCATTCTACGTGACTTGAAAGCATAGATGGGTCTTTTAATTTGGTAGCAGCCCAGACAACGGATAAGCACGGTTGGTTCTATCAAATCTTAGCTAATTTTTACCAACGTTCTGATGTCCAACGACCACCTTCACACTCTCGAGGCTCTCACCATCCACACACAAGCTTCCCAACAATCGCTGCACAGCACGTTTTTCGTAAGTGTGAGACCAGATAAATAGTCTACACTGAGAGATGATTCCGCTCCTTTCTGCCCTATTTGGACTTAAAATAAGAAAAACATGCGGATTTGCTCGTTGAGCATGACACTGATTGACGGCATTCAAGACCTTGAAGAAATGGGTAGTCGTTCTAGAAAGAAGCTGATAGCACTGTTGGATAGAGCAAAAACACAATTTCAATGAAATGCAAAATATGGAGTCTGCTAAAAATTGAACTAGAACTGATGCACTAGAAGTCGAAAAAGGCATGAATTTCCCTTACAACGTGATGGTATTTAGAAACTCATGAATCGAATAAAACTCACCTCTCGAAGCTAGCAGCAGCACGATTCTTACCAACATCATTCTCAGTGAGATAGTACTGTGCCGACAGATCTAACCATCGAGTTTCTTTGGTATCATGGAGAGTGACATTGCGTATTCCTTAACAATCACGACAGACTGCAGAAAACACGTACAATATTGAATGATAAAAGAAAATGCATCGAAAAAGGTATACCTCCAAGAATCAGGTTCTTCGCCACTTCGACCCCTACTCCTCCCAATCCAGATATTATTACAGAGGCCTTTCTGAGATGAATCATTGCAGATTCTCCGAGAGCGTATCTGAATGCGAAGCAGTTAGCGAAAATTCATTTTCATGTAGAAATTCAGCGCTTCCACAAGAAATCATGACGTACATTTGCCTGGAATAGAGGTTCGTATCCAGCGCGGCTGCATCGGTATCCATTGCCTCCTGTCCGTTCTTGTCCGAAGCCATTGTTTTTGAACCAGAGTTCGAGTTGTAGTTTTTTACAGCGATGGAAGAGTCCTAAAAACGATAATGTATATCACAACTTTCAAATATTTTGTATTGAAATGTTTAGAAAAGTGAAGGGAGTGGTTTGGAAATGGCCAAAGATTATGAATAATTAGGAGCTAAGTAAGAACTTTTGCGAAAAAAAACTGCAAAAGAAAAGCCAATGGGGCTCTATTTGCAAATGTTTTCAAAATATTGAGCAACTCTCACCGTGGTGAAATATACTTGAAAAAAAAACATTTGGAGTTCTGATGGCTCAATTCAAATTTTTGACGATGAGAAACGGTAATAACAACTGAACCAAAAACTCAAGATAGATAGATCATTTTCAAAAAAATTCACTTTTCATCTAACGCTATATTCGTAGAGGACAACGCGGTCACGACATTATGGCGACAGGAGTGATGTAATGGTTACCCGTTCACCAGCAGTAGAAACGTAACCACAGACTGAGCTGAAGCGAGACGGCTGTTCTTAACCCTTTCGGACCTGAATTTTTCCCCGTGGAGAAATTTTTCTTCTAGCTATTGTTTATTACTTGTGAGCATATAGGTATCATTATGGCGAAATTTGGAAGCTATTCGATCACAAACAAAGAAACTAAGAAGCTTTGAAAATTGGCCCACCTTCTTAGTTTTTAAGCTTATGTCGAAACAATTCCAAATTTCATAGTTATGCCGAAAAAGTTTATAATCTTGCACAACATTATAACCCATAATTTTGATTTAAGAATGGATCTACTTCAAGTATTTTAAGAAAAAGTGACACTTACTTGGCCGGTTGCGGGGACCAGCGTCGATTCATTGTTGCACTTGTACACAAATACTTGTAATACTAACAGCAACACACAATGAAATGGCAGGTTTAGCTCATAATTAGGAAGGGGAAGGTTGACTGAAGCAACCTCTAGCAGGATTAGAAAAACCATGCTGTTTCAGCGGCAATGCAAGCATTTGAATTTGATGGTGGCAATTGCCACCGCCAGGGCCGAAAGGGTTAAACGGACGACGGAGGTGCACATCCAAACTCAAAAAAGCGCATGGGAGAAGTAGACATTATGTGGCTTGCCCGAGATATGGCCCACAACTGGGGAAATTGTCCCAGGCTTTCAACTGCTTTACAAATCATGAGTGAG